CTTCATCTTCTCCTGCAGAGCAGTGGGTGGGTTTGAACCAGTATCCTTGCTGTCAGCAAGCAGCCAGATGCACAATGCATAGAACCACCAGGACTTCTTTAGCTAGAGCCCATGCCGGCATCTCATGGCAGCAGGCTGTGCAGTCAAACCCGACTCTTCATCAGCTAGAAACCAGGCTTGCTATATAGAAAAGCTCCCAATTTATAAAACTAATGCTAAACCTAGTTAAAATGCCACCCAGCTCAAACCAAACATGTCTAAGGGCTGCACCGGACCCCTGGGCCAGACCTGCAAGCTCAAAGCCAGGGGTCCCAATTAAAGGGGGTGGTTTGGTTCCCTGGGGGATGCAGAGCACTGCCAAGGGGGCATGTGTGACTGGTGGGATGGAACTGGCACCTCTTCCAGGCGCAGCAAAAAAAGACCAGACTCAGAATGCCAGGTGAAGGGCCTCACTTGAAGGGGTGCCCGCTGGTAAGCACTGCCAGGTGTGTGTGGTCCCCAGGGCTGGGCCACAGTATTCGACTTCCAAGTAGAGAGTGGCCCCAAGCTGAAACCAACTGGCCAGTGGTGTTGGATCGGGGCAGGGAGACTGACTGGCTATTCTTTGCACCCAGCCCTGAGGTTTCTGGGATTATAAAAGAAATGTTAGTGCCCACGGGGTCTCAGAAAGGACTCCAGGTCCGAAGGTGTGTGAAATCCAGTCCATGTCGACATTTCCTTGAACGTGATGCTTGAACTTGTTCTCCGGAGCCTGTGTGCTCTCTCCGTGCCAAGGGGACACACATGGTTCCTCCAGGAGTGAGTGGAGGAGGCTGCTTCCTTCGGAGGGAGGCTGAGCCCAGCTTTCTGCCTGGCAGGTTCGGGGACGGAGCTGCCTACCTCAGCTGCTACACCGAGAACCGCCCCCTCGCCCCAGCCCCCAGGACCAGAGAGTCTTCCAGTAGGTATGGCATCTGCTGCCTCTTCCCCACTCCAGACCGCACGGTCAGCTGTCCTGGGGACCTCGGGGAGAGCTTTCTCAGGCCTTGTGTCTCCTGGATGGGCTGATGCAGCCCCACCTCTGTATCCTTGACTACAGTTTCCTCCAAAAGGACCAGCTCCCACGAGGTACCGCTGGGCCCAGTCCCTTCTCCTTCCACTCTGTTTCTTCTAGTGGGAGCCCACCCTGACCCCCAGCCATGATACCTCCTCCTCAAATTAAGACTGTTCCCCAGAAAAGGAGATCCCAAGACCCACCCTGAGGACTTCCCCCCCATCCCGCCCCACCCCATCATAGCACCTTGAGAGTTGGTGGTAAGAGGAGGCAGAGGGAGGACCAGTGGCACACAAACGGGTGGGGGTGGGAGGGACAGGCATCCCCCCAGGGCCCAGAGGTGGGACCCCTGAGGCCAGGCTGGAGAATCAGCTCCCAATAGCCTTTCTCAGGGCGGTGGTCCTCAGGGCCTGCAAAGACCATCTGCTCCTGCTTCCCCTGCCTTTTCTCCTCTCTTGTCTCACAGAGGAAGGGACCTGGACCACATCAGCAGACAGCCAGGACTGTGGGAACAAGGTGGACACCCACTGCCTCCGACTTCCCCAGGCCAGTACAGCCTCGGCCAGGCCGTCAGCCCTCCTGGGAGAAGAGGGGCTCTCTGGACACTCACTGCCTTCAGTCCCGCCCTCCTTGGAATCCACAGGAGCCATCCAGGCTAGCGCTGGTCCCCCAGGCCCAGTCTCCCCAGCCCCCACGGCCTTGGCCACACATTTGTCCTCCGAAGCCACCCCTCCTGGACGGCTGCTCTGGACGTTAGAACATTTGGTAGTATCTTCAGTCTCAAGACAACCTGTCACCACAACGGAAGGTTTTGCAACTGTCAAGCCTGAGCAGGGCACTGCCCAGTCAACAAGAAGTCCCCATGTGCTGGGAGAGCAGTCAACAGGGGATGTGGCTACAGGGAGGGAGCCTGACCAGGTCCGTGAGGAATTCCAGGCATTGATGAGGCCCTCGATGACCAGCCCTGCTGAAGAGCCTTTGGGTTCCCATCATTCTCCAAGGGCGCCCCAGGAAACATCCTCCAGAGGGGAGGCCACAGGCTCCCCCCAGGACAGAGCTGGACAGCACCTGGACCTGTGGTGGTCGCCAGAACCCATCGAGTCATAGAGGTGCTGGGTCTCGCCACCCTGCTGGGCAAGGGAGCCTGCTTCAATATCAAAACAGTGAGTGCACCCAGGATGCACGGGGCAGCAGCCAGTCCCTATTGCCTGTTGGGGGCCTCAGGTCAGGAACCCCCTGGGAGGCTCAGGGTGGAGCCAGTGGAAGCCCTGCCTCTTCTCCCTGTGTGGGTGTCAGCCACGGCAGCTGTCCCGACAGCTTGGCTGCAGAGTCTCTGCCTCCATGTTGGAGCTGGTGGCCTCCTTCACGGGGACCAGGCATGCTGCTGGACTTGCCCTTGCTGGGGGGTGGAGGGAACCAGGGGAGGCCACACACACAGCTAACCCTTCATCTCTGTAGACACAGAGCCCAGGGCCCTGGACATCTTTCCTGAGCTAGCCACGGGGTCTTGCCTGGGCAGGAGCCCATAGGACCCACTTTGGAAGCCAGCCCTGAAAGTCTAGTACTCCAACCCCCACCCCCACTCCCAGCCCCATGCCCAAGAGCTCCTAGGAAGGGTCGTTCCTGGGAGCTCCCCATGATTGGTGCCAGGCCCACAGGCAGGCTTCCAGGGCTCAAGTCCCTGCCCTCACCAGCTGTGCGATGTTGGGCACTCACTCACCTCCCCGTGCCTCAGTTTCCCAATCAGTCAAATAGGGGTGACAATACTTCCTCCCCAATTGGATTTCTGAGGTCACAAAGTGGGAGGAGAAGGCCAGTCTGTGCCTGCCTAGAACCTGGCCACCCCCAGGCAGAAGGGGCAACGGCTCTCTCAGGGGGCCAGGGGGACCAGCCCCACAGCCGCAGGTCGCTCTGGGAGGTGATGGTGAGGGGACCCACCTCAGGGTGACTCTAGGCCCATGGGGAAGAGGGAGGGTTAGTGTACATCACTAACCGCACCCTTCCTCCGGCTCCCCAGGACAAGCTGGCACTGGGGACCCCCGGTGACCCCCAGTGACCCCCAGTGACCCCAGGGCTCCCCAGCGCCCCGCCCCCCTAGCCCGGCCTTCCTGCTTGCTCCTCGGAGTGGCCAGGGTGCGGAGGCCTGACCAGGGCGAGGTCCTCGGGGCGCCCTGGGAGCGCATCCCCGCAGGCATCCCCAGCGCGGGCAGTGGGGTTTGAAATGGGGCCAAGGCAGGCTGCCGGCAACGCCCGGAACGGGAAATAAATAAATAAACAGGGTTGTCTTGGCTGATAAACGGTCTCTCCCTGAAGCCGGCTTCTCGACCCACCCCTCCCCCGGCGCCCCTCCTTTCTCCTCTCCGGGCAGATCCATCCCAGGCAAAAGCCTAATAGCCCGGGTCCAAGCTTTCCTTTCACCACGGGATTGAGCTGCTCCTGCATTACGAGGTTTTCAGCTTCTCTCTGAAATCAAATTACTGACTCCATTTAATTTTTTAAAAGCCAGGATGATTTCCCTTCTTGAATCGAAGCCGGGACTCCAAGGCCAGCCCCGCCCCCCGGCCGCCGTGGGGGCAGCATGGCCCTGGGTGGCAGTCCCCCCAGCAGGGCAAGCCTGATGGGGCGCCCCGCAGGGGAAGCCGGCAGCAGCAGGCCCAGCCCAGAAGGGCTCAGCCTCCCCCAGGCCTGGGATAGGGCCTGGGGCTTCCAGGTGCCATGTGAGGGGCTGTTAGACCCAGTGATTAGCACCCAATACAGCGGTTGTGGGCTCCTTGTCTGGGGGTGGGGGTCCCCAGACCCCTTCCCACAGTGCAGGCTTGGTACCCTATTGCTCAACACGTGTATGGGGCACCTCTTACATGCCAAGCACAGAGAACGGCCTTCTGCCAGCAACCAGAATGTTGGTGTCCATGTGCTTGCAAGCGTGTGTGTGTGTGTGTGTGTGTGTGTGTGTGTGTGTGTGTGTGTGTAGCACATGGAGATCGACGACGATGACAAACGCCAGTACACACAGATGATTCCAGAAACTGCAGAGAACCAAACCAGCCACTTGAATGTGTGTGTGTGGGGGTGGTGGTGGTGGTGGCGGCTTGTGGGGCAGAAGGCTTTGGGGTGGGGGGCTTCCAAGGAGGGAACACTGATGCAGAATGAGGAAGGCCTGGGTGGAAGGGCATCCGGGCAGAAGGCAGAGCAAGTACCAAGGCCCTGAGACAAGCAGGCTGCAATCGGAGTTGAGACCCGGGAGGCTGGGTGGCTGCAGCAGGTGGAGGAGAAGATGGGAGGCAGGCTGAGATCTTGCAGGCCACCAGCGGGGCCTCTGGCAGAGAAGCAGCCTGGAACAGGGCCCCTAACAGGCAGTCTGGGAGTGGACTTTCTAGAAGGTAGCAAGAGGGCAGGGGTCCCTGATGAGAGTGGGTAGTATGCAGGGTCCACCCACCCACTGCAAGGGGAGGTGACTCAAAGTGTCCCTCCAGTGAGGGGCTTGGGCCAACCCTCCTTCTAGAAGACTGGGTAGAGGTGGCTGCTAGGTGAGGCTGGGGCAGGATGCACCTCCTGTCCTGCAGTGCCCAGAGAGGGGGCCCTGCTGGGAACCCTCCCCTCTGTCTCTGCCTCCCTGGCTCTGTCTCTGGGAGCTTTCTTTCCTCCTGCCTCACTTTTTTCCTATCTGGTTTTCCCCCTGCTGCTGCCTCCTTCCTGCCTGCCTCTCTCTCTCTCTCTCTGTTTTTGCCTATTTGTTTTTATTCCCTCTCTCTCTCTGCCTGTCTCCTTCCCCCACCCCCCGTCCCCTTCCCCTTCTCTGCAGAACTCCCCATCTTAGGGACATGATAGGCCAAGGGCACGAGAGAGGGAGAAGAGAGAAGTCCTATAAGCTGACCCTTTACTAAGTCCTTCTCATGTTTAACCAACCTGCGCCCTTGGAGACAAGACAAAGGGAATGGAGTTAATGAAATCACCAGCCTTTACCTGGCATTAAAGGCTCTTCACCCCCCGGCGAGCAGCGATTTGCAAGGCGGAGAGGGTCTGGGCATTAACTGTTCTGGGCATCCTTCCCAGCTCAGTGCCCTGCATGCGCAGCTGGAACAAACCACTTCACGTCTCTCTTCTCCAGCTCCAACCCGGCCGGTCGTGTTTAATTAGAAAGTGCTTGGGCTTAATTAGAAAGTGCTCCTGTCTTCCCCCAAGATGTGACAACCCCGGATCTTGACCTGGGTGGCCCCATGCCCCTCCGGGCCTCCATGTGCACAAGTGTTTGCCTGGCCTTGGGCTTGTCTCCGTTTCCCACAGAGACCTCGATGCCTCACAGTCATTTGTTTACGGCTGGCGTGTCTGCCGTCAGCCTGCACACCCTGGCTGGGAACGGCTCTTCCCTTGGGACCAGCGCCCAGCTGGGTGGGGTCTCAGACCAGCAGGGCGCTCCGGATTCCCAGCTTGTCTCTTCCCCTCTGCAGTTATGTGGGATGAGGGTGGGAGCTTCAGAGAGTTCCTGGAAAACTGGAATGAAAAGATGGTGGACCACTGGATGGTAACTAACAACAGCAACCAGTGATCTTGGATAAGTCATTTCTAGAATAAAATGAGACACAGTTGTGAAATTAAGAAAGAGAGAGAGAGAGAAAGAAAGAGGTGGAATTTTTGGAAGGCCCTTGGGTTGTGGGTTTCTCCTCTTACAAGCAGCCAATCTGTCCAACCTGATGGTCCAATCTGTCCTTTTGGGCTCCCACCCAACCCCCTGGTTTCCCTGCCCTGCCCGTAGACCCTTGTCACCTCTCCCTTGTTGAGAACCCCAAGCTCCCAGATTCTAGATAGGTCCGCAGGAGATTCTCCGAGCACAGCATGCTTGGTTAATGGTGGGTACTTGAACATGGCTTAAACTGGAAGTGTAACCTTCACTGTAGTCACACCAACTCCCCACACCCCCAGCCCCGTGGCTTCTTGAGCCCAGAGAGGAGGCAGCGAGACCCAGAGCTTTCTTCTGGGTCTCAAGAGAGCAGCCCCCCTCCTGTGACCTTGACTTCTCAGAGCCAGGAGCCTGGCCATGTCCACCCTGGGATCAAGTGGGCTCAGCCCTTGAAGGTGACATCCCAAAGCCCAGGGTCCCAAAGGCAGCTCAGAGGACTGTCATTCCTGTGATTCCCCTTCTGGCCCACCCAGCCCCGACCACTGAGCCACGATTCTGACGCTCACAGGGCTGGTCTCAGGGTGGGGCCGGGCCTCCTGGGTGGATGGTCACATGCCTGTCCTTGTCCTCCAGGGGATCGGTTGACCCGGAGCCCACAGCTCCTCTCCTGACCAAGGCAAAGCCCTTAGGGCTGTGGTTCTCTGAGTGCAGCTCCCAGGCCAGCAGCATCAGGGAGCTTGTTAGAAAGGCCAGTGCCCAGTCCCTGCTCAGACCTTCCGACCCTCAGAAACGCAGGGCTAGTGCCCAGTCTTCCAGGGGACTCTGAGCCGCTGTCTTGGGAGCATCTTTGCCCCCCTCCCTCTGGGCTTTCTACCTTGGGCAGATTACCCAATTGGCAAGGCAAGCACGGGCTTACTAGTGCTTTCTAACTAACCTGCAGTGAATAATTTCACTCCACAACCCCCCAACATCAAAGACTTTCTCCCACAGCAGCACCACCCCACAGCACCGTCCTACAGAATCCAGTTTCCTTTTAGACTGATAACCCCGACAGGGACCCAGTCCGTAAGGGCAACACGGGCTTCCTTGTGCCCACGGGTGAAATTCAGATGTGGAGAAACCCAGGTGAAATTGTTCACTAAAGAGCCGCCAGGAAGCACAAGTCAGCCCATGCTTACCTCACTTGCTGGGTAGCCCACCCCCATGTCTACCTCCTGGCCACTGCGTCTAACACCACCGTGTTGAGGACAGGCAATGCTCTGGCCGTTTACAGACGAGGAAACAGGCTCAAGGTTTTGTCCAAGGCCAACTAGCCTGAGTCCTGGCCTTCTCTCCCGAGGGGGAATCTCTGTCTCAAATACCTTGGGTCTCTGGGGCCCCTTCAACCCAAGGAATCAACACCTGTGCAAGGAGGAGGGCAGGGACGCCCCTTCCAGCCAGCCCCCCCCACTCTCCACCTCAGGAAACGCAGCCAGGAAACATAAATTTTGCTTGGCGGTTAAGAGCTCTGAAAGGAGGTCCACGTCAGGAGATGGGACTTTATTTCTCAATGAAATGGGCTTTTTATGGTTGGAATAAAAGTGCCAGGGGAGCCCGCTGCCAGGAAGTAGCAAGCACATTTGAGAAACGCCTTTGGACAGGGCGGGGTTGCCCAGAGGTGGGGGCCTACATTGCCAGAGGTGCGCCGTCCCACCGGTGGCAGCCCTGAAGGATCTGGTGTGCGCGTGGTCATCTCAGGGACCCCACTGCAGCTGAGAAGCGCCTGCTACAGCGTCCTGACCCTCCACCCTCGCTAGCTCCGAGGGGTTGCAGTGCAGAGAGCGGGCAGCAGGGGGCAGCACAACCCACCGTTCTAGCTCTGCCTAGTGGGCGCTGCCAGAGGGAGGGTGGGCTTGAGGAGGGGGCCTCTGAGGCTCAGCTCTTGGAAGAGGTCAGCAGGGACCCCTCCTTTGGGACCGTCCTCCTCTCTGCAGCCCTTTCTACCCCAGCCCCTTCAGAGCGAGGCAGGTGTCACCCAGCCCCGAGGACAATCATAGTGGAGTTGGGGGTAGTTGTGGGACCTCTGCATTCTAAGCTTCTTCAGCCTTTACTTCCGACTCAATTAAGCTCATGATATTCTGCCAAGGGATTTCTTAAGGGGCCTCGGGTGTGTGTGTGTGTGTGTGTGTGTGTGTGTGGTGTGATGTGCTGGCGGACACAGCCTTCCTGACCACTGGATCAGAAGTCCCTGAAGGACACAGGGAAAGCACAGAAGCCTCTTCATCTGAAACTGTGTGATTGGCAGGTTTACGGCCTCGGGAAGGTGCGTGGTATTCTGCACAATCAAGTCATTTTTAAAAATAATCTCCCTGCTTAAGTCGTACACGCTGCTAATTGCATTTTAATAAGTCTCTTAAAATCTCGCCATATTTTTTAATATCCTAATATTAGGTAAGTGATTGCGGGGGACACTGGAGGGCACGAGGAGTTTATATAACGGAGGGAGGGCTGTGATGGAGTTTGATTGGGGGTGGCGGTGGCCACCAGACTGCCTGTGATGTGTGTGCACGTGTGTGTACGAGCCTGTGTCTGTACAACATGTGTGTGCTGTGGGCAGGCGGGAGACACGTGTGAGTGTGTACCACGTGGGGGTGTTTGTTTGTGTGCCCCTAGACTTGGTTCCCCCTATCCACAACCCAGGGCTGCCACCCTCAGGATCGTGAGGCACCCACCCACCTTCTCTCCAATGGCAGTGTCCCGGATCACTTAGCCCTCCTGCTGGCTCCAGGTCCCACCAGCTCTCTCGCCACAGGGCAGAGACGGCTTCTCTCCTCCCATTCCTTTGGCCTCAAACTAGAACATCAGAGCTGGTCAGGACCTGTGACTCAGCTCATCTGCCCCTCTGTTCCAAGAGTGACGTTCCTAAGCCCAGAGAAGGGACATAATGCCCAACATCATGGAGCAGGAGGGAGACCAGGGCCTAGAGGAATAGCCGCCGGGGCTGGCCGGCCCAGGGAGCTTCACAGTCCCCGCCACAGCACCCTTGCACACACATTGCTGGTCTTCACCCCATGGTGATCAGTGACCTGGCGGAGCTCTGTGTCCCTGTTTATTGAGACTTTACCACACGCCGGCGCCCCTGGGTGGGACAAATGGTTAGCACCACTAGCTGAAGGGTTGGATGCTTGAGTCCACTCAGAGGTCCCTCAGAAGAAAGGCCTGGTGATCGGCCTCTGAGAGGTCCAGCCATTGAAATCCCCACGGAGCAGCTCTGCTCTGTCACACATGGGGGTTGAGCACCTTTGAGAGGTCCCAGGCAATGAACACACGGGGCTGCCCAGGCTCCGAGCCAACTGGTGCTGGTCTTCTGTGCCAGGCAACTTTTGGAGCCCATTCCCCCAGCTAACCATAGAGGGTTAGCACCTTAGGGTCCTCCCTTGACCCCACAGCCAGGGGGCTCCGAGCTGGGATCTGAACCGGCAAGGCGGATGCCTGGGCTGGGTCTCTTCACCACCACTGGACAGAGGCTGAGCAGAAGCCCCTGCACTTTGGCCATCTTCAAGTGTCTGAGGAGACCGAGGACCACGGGAGAGGCTGGGGACACTGGTCTAGGGCCGGGAAGCGGGCAGTTGGGTGTTGTGGTCTCTCTTGCTCCCCAGCCCCCCATCACTACAGGGTGGATCCAGGCAGGGTGGGGCAGCATCATACTTTCTCCTTCCAGCCCCCAGAAGTCAGAGGCCACCAAAGGCCCGTGGCCCCAGGTTGTCCCATCTCAGACCTCAGCAGGGCCCCAGGTTTGGAGGGGTCCCCCGGGCCCCCGCTGGCCCCAGCCTTCCTCTTCCTCCTCCTTTCTACTCGCCACCGGCCGGGTGGGAGGCACATGTTGAGGGAACTTCTGAACAGGAAGTCAGCGTGCAGGTCGTCCCCATCCCTTTTCATGTGGTTTCTTTAATCCCCCGGGCTGGGTTTCAGAAGCGTTTTACAGTTTCAGTTTTACAAAGCTACGCTCCCTTTAATGTTGGCGTTTTTCAGGAGGTGGGGGAGAGCGGCTTCAGTCAAAACATGTGTGTTTTACACCAGCCAGCTGGGGCCGGCCAGGCTGGGGAGGGGCGCCGCAATGTGGCCTGCAGGCTCCGCGGGGGCCCCAGTGGACGAGGGGCTGGTGGAGCCAGAGCCCGAGCCCTCAGTGGCCGCCCTCTCCTTTCTGCACTCGGGCGCCTGCCTCCTTGCCTGCTGCCCTCTCGGCTGGCTTGGCTCCAGGGGGGGCCGCCCCCCACCCCAAAGCCTCCTTCCCACCTGGTACCCCTCCCAGAGATGCAGTCAGCACACTGGGCCATGTGGCCTAGCCCACTGGCATGCTGATTCAGCCACAGGGGCCTTTTACTTCTGTCCTGTGGTTGTTGCTCTGACTCTCGGTCCCCTGACCCACACGACAGAGCACAACGGAGCCCGGTCCTGCGCCATCCTCACAGCGTGCGCCAGCTTGAGCGCATTGTGGCAGCCGCCGTGTCGGCAGGGTGTCCTTCACTTGTGCCAACCCTCCTGACCACATGGATGCAAAGCCAGCCAGACCAAGGAGCCTCGTCACCCTCACGTCTAAGCAACGGTCTGGCTGGACTTTCTCCCAAACGGATCCTTGTTCTCCTGGCGGGCCACAGTCTAGTCGGCATCCTCGGCCTGGGCCACATATCAAACACACACTGCTTGTCCTTACATCGGGCTTTGCCCCCCCACTTCCATGCCCAGTGCCTCCAAGTCCATTCCAATTCGTGGGGAACCCCCCGGGTGTCAGGGCAGAACTGTGTTTTGGGCCGTGACCTTTCAGAATTAGGTCATCAGGCCTTTCTGCCCAGGACCCCTGGGTGGATCTGCACCACCAAGCTTCCAGCCACACCTCTGTGCATGTGCAGCGCCGCCCCCCCCCCACTCCCCCAGGGATCCTTCACAGA